TACTAGGAAGAATGTATGCAATGTGTTAATTATTGAAACTGTCCTACCAATTTGATTTGAAACTGTGTCATTGCTATTTGTTTCTCAATAAAATTATGGGGAAAAAAAAAACAATTTCTCACACTGCCAGTCAAGCAGAAGACCCAATACTATTCTGGGCTACTGGACTCTTTTAGAATATTATGCTGAGTTAACACACCTATAAAATTCAAATGACAGAACTAAAGAAAAAAAGCATATATAAAGGAATGTCCATTTTGTATCTGGGTATTCAAAATGGTTAGGATAGATATAAAGTTACATTCTCTTAACAAATAGAGGGATTTGTTGTAATAGTGTTTGTAAATAGGATATCATGCCTGCATCTTGTACAGCAAATAACCACTAGGAAGACAGTATGCAATGTGTTAATTATTGAAACTGTCCTACCAATTTGAGTTGAAACTCTCTTATTGCTATTTGTCTCTCGATAAAATTATGGAAAAAAAGAAAAGAGTGAAACACTTTACTGAACAGACAATGGGTGCAAAGTGTTGAGCACAATTAGCAGAGATACACTGTACACCAAAACAAAGTTCAACATCTTCAGTGGGGCACATCCTGCCACACAGGACTTACTTTCACCATCTGTGGTCTTGTAAAGGGAGTCACAGACCAGCTCTAGGAAATGCATAGACAACAGCATCAGAATAAGGGGCCAACCACAGATAGAATGTCTATATAGCACATCAAGGCCTTCTTTAAGTGTGAACTAGACTGAAGGTGACAACAGTAAATATTATTTGATCCACATCTGGAGAAGCAGAATTTTTGAACATTTAATCTCGAATAATAATCAATTTTAAATAAATTAATATAGTAAGAATTCAGCAGCTACTTCTTTATACACTGGAGTCAGAGTTATAATTTTTCACTTGCTGTGATGCAGATAGGTTACCTAATTTTTCTGAAGTCAAGTGTTATTATGTCTAAAATTAGTATTGTAAAATCTACGAAACAAGATTATTATAAGAAGCAAAAGATAATGCATGTAAAGTACATATTAAATCTTTAGTAAAAATAATTGCTATCAAATAATTGCAGATATCCAAAAGACAGACACACACACACACACACACACACACACAAACACTCAAGTACTACACAGTCTTAGAGGCAGAAGAGCACTAAATCCTGTAAGCAATATAAATAGAGATTTACACTTGTCATCAAATCAAAGCTAGAAATGGGTCATCAAAGAAAAATTTGTCATATTGAAGAGAATGGATGTTTTGCAGTTCAGATAAGCTATATGGTAGATATGAACTGTTGTTTAATGTCACAGTGCTTTTCAAACGTGTTGTGCCAATGCACAGTACTATAAACAAGTGTAAGCATACAAGATTCATAAAAATCATGCTTTTCTATCATCATTTTTGTTGATAGATTTTGTTGTTGTTGTTGTTGTTGGGGCTAATTTTCAGACTCCTAGGAGATGTTAATTTTCAGAACTTTGGGGAATAATTTTTTATGACTTCAAGGAGCTATTTAACAAGCATTATAGAGTTGTTTGACTGGAGAAATCAGTTTTCTTCACTGACATAGTTTGATGAGGGTCATCAAACAAAGAGTATGACAGAGCAGAAGAAACAGTCGTTGTTCTCTAAAATGATACACACTTAATCCAGAAGCTCATGCAGTTTCGAAGCTCTTTCACAAAGCATTTGCAATTATCTACAAAATGCGCTTCCCAAGAGCATTTTGAAAAGTCAAAATTGGGGGTTATTTTCACACTTCCCAGTGTTTTCAGGCTTTCACTGGTTTTTAAATTAATGGAAAAAGTGTGACAAAACAAACAGAGTTTTTCCTTACAAGAACCTGTTTGAATGCCCATTGTGCTTTTTGACCGTAAACACCATAAACGTCAGGTAGGAAATTCAGGGCTTTTTAATATCAGCACACACAATTCTTATTTAATCTTGAAAGATTAATTTGTTAAGTTTCTTTATTGGCAGTAATGGAATATGTCTAATCATCCCAATAGCAAAATAATCATAATAAATGATTATTATGACAAGAAAATTATATGACAAGAAAGATTATGCCTTATTCTGACTTTAAATAGCTTGTGAGAGACTATTTTCAGATGTAGATTGTCTGCTACCATTTACTGGCCACAATACATGTGATTATGGATTTGATATCATAATATATATATATATTCTTTATCTTGTTCAGATAAATACTATATTCATTTGAAAAGGTAGCTGTCTGCTTAATTTTTCTTGGTGGTGGTACAAAATAACTGATGCTCACAACAAAGGGAGGAAGAGCTTATTTCAGATCACACTTTGTAGAGTCTCAGTCCATAGCTGGCTCACCCTCAGACAGGATGTCATGGCAAAAATCTATGTATCACAGATGAGAAATAGAGGAATCCATGGCAGATGAGGCAAGGGTTAGCAGCAGCAAGCCTCCCTTTCCCTTTTGTTCCATTAAGATATAGGCTTTTGGGTTGGCATCACTCCTACTCAAGGAGAACCTTCCCCTTGTCCATGTTCAGAACTATTCTAAAACAATTTAATTTATTTATTTGTTTATCTTCAATGTATTTGGTACAGGGCATCACTATGCAGCTCAGACTCTTTTGTGATCCTCCTGTTTTCAACCTCCCCAGTGCTGGAATTACAGGCGTGGATCTCAGTGGCTGGCTCAGCATGCTCAGGGGCGGGGCCAATGCTGCATGTGGTGCCAGGGATCAAATCCCGGTCACTGCACTTGCCTAAGCAGGTGCTCAGTCGGCTGAGCTCTCTCACCAGTCCTTACCAATTTAGTTTTAACATACCTTTAATCTATATTCACAAAGCAGCCAGCTCAAAAGCCCCACCTCCTGGCCCATGAAGTTTTGGGGAGATATCTAAATAAAAGCCATAACAGTGACCCAACTGAATTCATAAAATAATAGTTTAAGTCTATAAGTCTATAGAATAATTACATACCAAAGGATTTACTGATTGCTTATATCTGACATAAAAGTGCATTGAAAAGGACAATAATTCATAGAGCAAAATTTTATTTTGAGGTTTAGTATAAAGCCATCTTTTTTTAACAATATTTTCTCATGTACTATTTCTAAATGAAACATTATTACCTGTAACTGATTATAATTTTGTACTGGTTTCACTTGTAAAACTCACTGTATTACGTTTTAAATTATATAGCATTGATAGAAAAGCTCCCATTAGTGCAGACATGCATTAATCCAGTATAGATCATGTTACAAGTAACCACGCTTACCATAGTTGTCTCAGCAATAGAGCCAAAGCTGTTTATGAATATATTGCATGTGACATTGACCGGAGGACCTGAGAGAGAGAGAGAGTAAAATAAGCATGTTAGCTTATTTCTTTACAGCAGTTTCAAGTAATTCCTTCACTCTCATGAGTAGCTAAATAAAACAGAAGTTTCATTATATGCATGAAGATAATCAAAACTGAAGGAAATCTTCTTACGAAACAATGGAGATTGAAAACCCCAAGGGTCAGATGCTCTTCTAACACTTGATGCTCCCCATGACATAAACCTTTTAGCCTCTTGGTCTTATTTTGCTTTATCTAGATATCTAATGGCTCTGTGAATGTCAGATTTAGTAAATTCAACATATACGCCCACTACTGGAGGGTTTCTGTTGATCTTTCCCTAGGATATAATATGAGCTATACTTTTTTCTTTCTTTGTGTATCTCAATGAATTTTGAAGAATTGGATATGTTAGCTAATACAAAATGGCAATATATGAATCCGGACACATCTTCATCTCTAGTGCTTAGTTTTTGCTGCTAATTTTTGTTGTGGTTGATTGCTGTTTAGTGACTTTCTGGACTAATGCAGTAAGGTCTGTAATTCCATACTATCTGGCCATTGAAGTTTCTGCTCAGTGAGCTCAGTGGTCAGAGGTTTCCAAATTATGAGAGTTCATAAACTGTTCTTTGCAAAAGAGCTTCATGTTTATTGGGAGGTCTACTTTCTACACTTTACATATTTTCTTACCATTTGCTACTGTTAGGGTTTATGTCTAGTTGTCCCCCCAAAACCTCACTCAGTCATGGGACGGCTTCTGGAATTGTGACTGATTATTGTGAGTATGGATGCTGCACTTGCCCTGGGGCAGGTAATTTGCATTACGATATGAAGAAGGAAGAGAGAGGCTAGCTAGCTGCCTGAGCTGCTGCCACTCCTTTTGCTCTCTGCTCTGCCGCAGCCATGAAGGGTTGCTCTCTGCCATGTGTCATGCTGCCTTGGAGACAACTGTGTATAGACTAAAGCCTCCAGTAACTGTGAGCTAAATAAACCTTTCCCTCCTACATTTTGAACATCAGGTATTTGTCCCAGCAACAAGAGAAGAGTAACTGAGACATCTACTGTCTAGCATAAGGTCTGAGGTTGGCCAGAAAGGGGCCCTTTGTATACTTGGAGTCAGCTCTGCACCTACCCACGACCTCTAGATCCATTAGACTACATCAAACCTTATGGACAGACCTAAAATAAACACTGCATTCCCCAGATCTGGTTCAAATGGGTTCATATCCTTTTTGCCCAATAGGCATCACAGTGTTAAGCATTAGTGTTATTAAACAATTTCCCGATTCTTTTGAAGAAATACCCAGGGAATAGGATATTTTTTCTCAAATGAATTTTTTAATACACTGAAATAAAGGAAAATACTTTTCATGGGGCTGTTCCAGAAAGCTGCCACATGAGTCACATCGTGACAGGATCTAGGTTTGGAATTTCTGAGGAGTACCAAATCTGGTTTGCTTTCTGGTAGCTGATAGAAGGCTGCTGGATCTCATGGCTGTTGAGAAACTGGGGAGTGAACTAAAGTTAAAAGGTCTTCAGTTCTTGAAAAAACGGTATCAGTTTTTCTTGAAAAATATACTTCCCAGATGGTTGGAAATTTGGATTAATTTTTAGACTTTTGAACATTAAATCTAAGACTTGTACCAATTTTTGTCATTTTTGTTGTTGCTTTAGGGAGAATAAATTATCGCGATCCCCTCCCAATTATCCTCCAAAAACCTTTATAGATACCTGAATTAGAATTAATCAGTAAAAGGAATGTTTTAAAGGCCTGTTACTCATTCTCTACTGAAGGTCAAAAACTTGTCCATACCAAGTGGAAGACACAATGACATGATCACCTACTAAAGAAGGAAAGTCTGGGATCAGTAAGTTGTGGTGCATTCTTGTTCTCAGGCACTGTGTTGAATTCTTCCTGGACGCCTCACTCACGGCGGATTATAGTCTGTCATTTTCAATTCAGGAAATTGAATCCCAGAGAGAATGCCTAAGTTATAATAAGTAATATAGGGGGTCTAATTCCAAGAATTATGCTTTTCCCACCGTATTATTATTTTGTCTAATACTCATTATGTGACATTCAAAGTACTCTTTTATTTGGACCCTATCTCTGTTATTAGGATAACAGCTATACAAATAAAAACAATACAGTGAAATATTGAGTGAAACTGGTTAAATGAGCTCTCATTTAAACTCAACATGTTAGGTAAAGTCACACATGTAAATGATAATATCTCTCTTCTGTGTGTGTGTGTGTGTGTGTGTGTGTGTGTGTATCTGTGTTGCTGTGAATTAAGCCTAGTGCATTGGACATGCTAAGCAAGTGCTGTTCCATGGAGCTACAGCTCCAAGCCCTTTCTTTAATTTAGCTTTATTACTTTTTATATTAACTAATTTGTATTAATTTATTATTGCTTTATTTTTTACTTGAACATAATTTAGGGCTAAATTCATTTTAAAGAAAATTTTTGCTAGAAAGAAAAGGATAGTAGTATGCTTTTCTTTCTTACACAAAATCACTTTAACTAATTTATGAAGTTCGTTGGGTAAGTATCTCAATTTTTCCACATAAAAATTGTACTTTACTACTTTTTTAAGTTTCTTCTCTTATAAGTCTTTTCTTTAGACACGTGTTCTTTAAGCATATGTTCACATAGCATACATTGATTTATCATTTTCTAACACATCATTCCTTTCTTATAATCCATAAACCTTTTTCTACTTTTCCTCTAGGGAATATAGTTAACTTTTATTTTTGTTAGGTTAATGTTCACATTTACAATATTATACAGTGTAACTGTTATACCTAGCTAAGCCTTATAATGTACTATGATTATATTTCCTTTTCTGTCATACACTTTCTTGAGATTTCCCAGATTTAACCACATGTAATTGTAATTAATCCATAGAACTATTTTACATTTTGTTCAGACTTATTATATACTCTTAACTTCATTTTCCTTTGAATTTATCATGCAGAACTTTTGCCTTATGCTAAAGCAGTCATCCTACATTTGAAGTTCCCAAGTACCACTACAAATCGAGTCTATGGCTTTGTTTTATGGGATCCTCTCTCATGATTCTCATTCCTTTCCTTCTGCTTTGAATTTTCATGTTAATTGAACATATCCTGCATTAATGATTATTGACACATGTTGCATAACACTGTGAAGTTTTAAGAGCTTTCCTGTCCATAAATGTTTGGTTTTTTTTTTCAACATCACAGTAATAATTTTATTTGGCAGAAATTATTCTTTTTTATATTAATTTTATTAAGAAAGAAATAACGAAACAGTTTCAAAACAGATTACTAGGACAGTTACAATAATTAATACATTGCATATTGCTGTCTTCATAGTAGTTATTCATAGCACAAGATGTAAATATGTTACCTAATCTAAACACTACTAGTACAAAACTTTCTTCTCATTGAACTAAGAGAAAATAGCTGTAGACCCAGTCCTAGCCCAGGTCCGGTGAATGTGTGGGTGAGCTTCCTGCTAATCTGCGCCGGTGGGACCAGTCCCAGCCCAGGAGCAGAGTGGGCCGGACCCTCTCCCTCCCCCTTGGGCCGCCCCCCACCACTCCTCCTTACCTGCCCACCCCTCCCGCCGAGTAGGAATTTCTGCCGACTTCTGGGAACCCCCAGACCCA